TGGATTTATATATATATTTTTAAAGGGAGCAAGGGTATGTACGAGATACTGAGGACTATAAGTCATAAAATTACGCAAGTCCTAAGAAAATTAGTCGAAGATACTAGATTAAGATAACTGTCGGTACAAATTATCTGCAATCCCAACAACTGTGTTTTTATTAAATCAAATGTTATTTCAACGCAAGCAGGGAAAAACTGACAAGTATTCATTTCTTCAGTCATTCATTTCAAATTACTGTGAAAACTCGAAGAAAGGGCTGCTTCAGTGTTTTAGCAACCCCTTCAAAGTATGAGACAATCTATTAGTTAGGAGTACCTTCAATAAATCGAAAAAATCACCTGAAATCTACTACCAACATTATGTGGGCTGTTGAGACTCTGAAGACTGTTTGAGGGGAAATTGGCTTATAGTGCATAACACTCAAATATAATTTATTTCTCATCGTCTAAATAAGTGATCATAACATTTATTCCTCTATAAAAAGTTACTGTAGATAATCTCAGAAGGCCCAAGATCGAATCTTAGTGCATTCTAGCTCTTGTCAGCAAACCGTAGGTTCGAATTACACGAGGAAGCATCAACGTTTTCCTGGTTGCAAATACAGTTTGCTGAAGAGTGCCAAAGAGTTTTTGAGATTCGTGTTGATTCCTTCCACTTTCTTAAACTGACTGCGAATTTCTCTGCGATGGTAAAGCATTCAACTTGGTGACCGCTTCATATAATTCACTGATAGAACGCATTCAGCATCAATGCTATGGAAGAAATACATATCAGTGGTTCCTACCTATTGACTGATCGATTTATTTATTCTAATATGTTAGACAGTATAGCAGAACTGATGGCTTACTGGTACTGTCAGTCTGATTTACTTAGCATAAAACAATGACTGACTGATTAATTTCACAAACGTGAATCAGTCCAAGTAATCCTAACTTTGGAAGAGAGCAGATAAAAGCAGAGAAAATAAATGCAATAAAACTGCAAGAGAGGAAAAAGTAAGGAGGATACAATAAGTGGATGAAACCTAGTGAATATTTTCAGAATCTGAAAGACAGTGTGACATGAATATATCTGCAACATTGTAAACGATTTAGAACTGTGGTGCTGATAGTTCGGAACCTGTGATTTTCCTCTTACAGAGGTCCCACCTACGTAATTTACACCTCTGAAGTGGCTAAAGACTGAACACATCATGGATTGGTACCTCTCCCAACTCGCTTCTAACCTAATCCTTCTTCATGTAACATTACTGCTGCAGAAACTAAGTAGCTCCTATTGGGTAACACGTTTCTTGGTCATCTGAATTGACGGGATTTCCCGACTTCAAAGACTACTTTCCTCCTTTACGTACCAGTGTTAGCAATTAAATCTTTGCCTTACATAATGTGAGCAATTGGAAACACAACCTTTGACTACAAAATTTTAATATTTGTATAAGTTCTACATTCAGGGTCTATGTTTTACAAACGTTAAATAGGACAAAGGACAGTATGGCCAGTAGACATACTCTCCAATGAACAGTGCTAAAGATGACTCAGGTTGGCAAGTCGGTTATTCCGCCTGAGATGTAATTTATGTAAGCCTAATTAACATAAAGTTTTAAGCAAGTTTAAGATGATTAGAAGCAGTTTATAGGAAGTCATTGACTTACGTTTTGGTTTCAGTGAAACTCGTCGGGATGAATCACTTGCAACCTCTGAAAAACTTGTTTCTGAATGCCTAGAATGGTGAAAGCAAAAATTAGATTATATCAGTTAATTGTTTCAATATTTGTCAGATAGTTTTGAACAGGAGCACTGTTCTCTGCGAGAAGAAAATTCCACATGCATACATTACCTTAAGATTGCATTGTTCAAATTATTGCCATCACATAGAAGTTATACATGCTCAATAAACCTTCATGATTTTCTTGATTGCAGTAGACTAGATAATGCGACAAACAGCGGTGGGCGACGAGGAAACAGGCATAAAATGGACACACACAAAAACTTGGAGGATCTGGACTTCACCGATGATATATGTCTGATTTCCCACAAACTGGAAGATATGCAAGTGAAAAGCAACAAGTTGGCAGAAGAAGCATCAAAGATAGGACTTCAGGTGAACATAGAGAAAACAGAGGTGATGAAGATTCCTGGGCAACACCACCAAAAGCAACAACAACAACAGACAACAATCAGCCAACATAAATGGGAGGAACCTGAGAGAAACAACCTCCTTTACCCACCCACCTACCTGGGAAGCATCGTTTCAACTACAGGAGAATGGAACTGACGAGGATATCAAAGCAAGAATCGGAAAAGCAAGACAAGCTTTCACTACTCTCAAGTCTGTGTGTGTGGAGGTCAACAGCACTCGGCATCAAAACGGAGATAAGATCCGGATTTTCAACTCCAATGTGAAGTCAGTCAGTGCTACTCACTATACGGATCAGAGACTTGCACTGCGCGTCATAAAGAGCATCTCAAACAAACTACAGACCTTCATTAACAGTTGTCTTCGCTCAATACCACTCAAGATCAGATGGCCAGCCGGCCAGAAAAGATCAGCAACAGTGATCTCCGGCAATGAGCGAACCAACACAGCGGGAACCGATTGTGAAACAAATAGGCAGGAAGAAATGCAGATGGATTGGCTGACCATACTCTGAGGAAACAATGCATCAAGTGACATCACTAGACAAGCCATTGCTCGAGTGGAACCCGAAAGGGAAGCGGCGAGTTGGTCGTCAGTGCAAGGGTGAGGGTGACTTGGAGGAGGTCATGTGAAGAGGAGATGAAAACGTGTGTGGGCAGACTTGGAGCCAGGTGAGGACTCTAGCAGAGAACAGAACGCAATGTAGACGTACGGCTGAAGCCCTATGTTCCTGTAGGAATTAAAGGATACAATAATAATAATAAACCTTCATGCAGGATAAAGTCAGTGAATAAAATATGTATATATTTAATAATTTCTGAAGATAGAAATCTCAGTGAAATCAATGGACTGAATTTCATCCTTAAAGGCGCAAGCAACTGCAGTCTGGAATGAAAAGCTAAGAAGCCTTTGATGCAGTTTTTATCGTACTCATCAACTTGGTGAAGTTCAAACCGTGATGGAACCGTTATCTCTTGGGAGATTCAAAATGACGTCACTCATTGCTACAATGAGAGCAGTTTTTTTCAGATATTTGGGCCAGGATGGACTTCTCGTTAGATTGTAGTAGTATTGTTAATTTTTTTGATAGGACTCACTTAACAGCTAGGTCTAGACTGATCGTGTTAGTTAATTCTCTCAGTGATTAGTCAACCTAAAGCATTTCCAACAAGCTTCAAACTTTCACCGACACCTGACTTAACTTAATACTACAGATCAAGTGGTCAGCCAAAAAGCGTACATAACAAGACACTCTGGCAGTTCAGAGAGTCAGCTAACTATGCATTACTAAGCAAATATGCATAAGCGAATGGAGATAGACTAGACACATGCTGAAGTGAACCTAAAAAGCTATGCAGGCTCCCAAGTAGAACACGAATAGGAAGCGACGAGTTGGGCTTCGGAGAGTGATATCAAGAATATCATATGAGGAGGAAATAAAAATTTGTGTTCCGTTATGGATCCATTTGGACAACCGAGGGTAACTGAAATGAGTAGATAAAGCCCTATGTTTTCCTTGGAACCCCAAAAACAAATAATAGCATCATAATACTGTGGTACCTGTAGCCCCACATTGAGCAGTTTGGATTCAAACCAAATGATAAACTTGTTTTAGGAGGATATTTGTCTGTAGAATCCTTGCCTATTTTCAAGGCTGACAAAAGGTCAAAGTTTCAGCTTTAAGACAAAGATAATGCATTTTTGTGATGGTTCTGCAGTGAAGTGCCGGGTTATTATTATTGCAGCAACTAGAATCGATTTTAAAACTCGAAACTACGAGGTAAATTTGCTGGCCGACCGATGATTTCTAGCTTCCATTTTGTCTTAGGCATTAATCCTGATCTTTCGATAAGATATTCTTTTCTTGTAATTTTATTTCAGAGATATGACACTCCATGTCACTATACTGAAATCAAAAGGGATTTATCATACTTCTACTGCATGATTAATCCAAATATTCAAGTTTCAAATTTGTTAAGATTCTGACTAGTTTCACTGTATACTTCGTCGTGGACTCATCATAATCAGGAGGGTTTACTGTGTAGCATATAAAGCAAGAGCTCATCGATAGCATGTGTTGCAGGTGGAGCTATACCATTACATGACAAAAACTATATAATTAATGTATAACTCATTTCTGTTTCATTGACTGAATTGTCGACAAACTCACCCGAAAGCTCAGCTACGTGAGTTCGACTTCCGTCAACGTCATAGGTGGACATTGCTGAATAAATACTAGACTATGAAAATGCAGCTATCTATCACTCACTAATTTTGAATAGTTCTCTATCCACTGTCGATTAATGACTAAGTTTACATCAAATGAAACACAGACAACTTTACTTAGTGATGATGTTTCTAAACCATTTTTTGGCAAATAATCATTTCTGGCGACTTGGTCACATAACATTCAAATTTTGTCCATTCCATTAATTCTCATGCTTTCGTTTAATTAGCGACAACCTTTTCGTAACAGATTGTGTTGGTGTTATGTCATTCCCATTGTACGCGCTAGTAGGTTTGATTTAGTGAGTAACTTTCTCCATCACCTAACTGTATTTCTTTTTAGAACGGTATCTCTGTCCCACCTTAATGTAGGATGTATTAATGCATGCATTCCGATTGCTGACTTTATCTCTAAGTCATTTGTATTCCTAGGGGTCATTCACTCTACAGCTGGATAAATTCATATATCTCAATAATCCAACTAAACTTAGTCTACTTGGTTGAGTTAAGTAGCTCACCGCACAGTCATTACTCACAAACCTTTTCTTTTAATTTTGATGCCCAAACAGTATTACTCATGATATATTTATATAATAATTATTCATTTTGTTTTTCCAGGTGGGTGTGATAATTAAATGGCTATCCCTGTAACATTCCAATCATTGCATGAAACATGCGATTCTGGTTTGATGACACATTCATGTGAAAGTAATTTCATTGTGCATACACCGTCGACATCTCATAACGGTTATTATAATTCTGTAAGACCATTTATTGCATCAGATATGTCAACTTCCAGTCTATTTCCTGAATGGTCATTAAGAATGGCGAACAAGTCAGAAATGTTTGAGAATGAGAATTCAGCAAATCCGTCAGTCTTCAGTAATCATATATGCGATGATACCAGTATAGAACAAAACTGTTCTAAGTCTATATATTCATCAGAATCTGAGATTAAACCACCTTTAGTCCCTTCTTCTTCTTCCATATCTAAAAACTTAAGTGAACTAGTGAATAAACTAAACAATGAAGATCCTTATTCCCTTAGTCATATTGATCCCGAATGCTATGAATCTTATGATCCCCCAGATTGTGAAAATTTCTCATCAACTCTGAACATACTCACATCTTTTACAAATTCTGATGTAAATAAAATTAAAACACTGAACTCTTCTAAATGGTGTCCATCTGTGAATAATATTATATCTGAATCGGATAACTTTTGTAGTTCAACACCAGCCAGCTACAATCACGGTATACCAATACTTTCTTCAGATTGTATTAATGAATCACACATTTCAAAAAATGTTCACAATGATTCTCAAAAGGAATCCAATACTTTAGAAATCAATAAATATGAAAAAATTAGGTCATCTTTTAATGATACTGGTAATAAACATTGTTTCATTCGTGAAGAAACTTTACATTTTCAAACACCTATAGAAAAATTTAGACATATGACAACAAATAAAAGATCATTTCCAAAACGGAACATTAATGAATATGCCGACAATTATACTGAGTCAGTGACTATGACTGGTGTTCAAATGTCAGCAGAAGATATAGTAAAGAAGCATATCATCGACGTTTATACGAATAAAAGTGAAGAAGGTGAAAAGATGTCACCACTTAGTTATACTCAATCATCCCTCATAACTTATGATAATTACACTACTGCTGTATCAAACAACAACACATCGTGTATTAGTAAGGAAGAGTCTGTGAAGGGTTTAAACTGTGAATCATTCGACAGTGTTAATAACAATTTACCCCTGATGAATTTATCACCTACACTAAATCCTTCATATTTAAAACAAAGAATTGATGATGTCACTTCAACTAGCCCCACAAGAAGTCATCGAACAAGACCGTATACAATAAGTCATGGTCATCCAAAGTGTGAAAATGATAATTCCCGGCTAGCAGATGATCAGTGTCAAGAGACAGTGAAGTCTAGTGAAATCCAGTTAGATCATCATAATTTCAGTCGAAATCAAAATCATGATTTTGCTGCTGTAAAACAATGTACACTGAATTCTCGATTTCAGCCTATAACAGAATCAGATTTTATATTCGATGATCAAATCAATCAACATGATCGTTTATTTATAAAAGATATTGAAGAGAAGATCAAATGTTCTCTACCGTGTTGTCTATCAAATATAGATTTGAATAAAAAAGTTGAATATAATCAGAATGAATATTCATGTTGTACACCGACAAATTTTAATCCTATAGAAGTAATGAACTCTATTGAAACATCAAGCATAAATCATCTAACACCGTATACATCTCATAAAAATATTACTTCAAATAATTGGGACACATCTACACCAAAAACTTCTAGCTATGTTGACTGTGAGTCTAAATTAGACACAATAGAATGTAACCGAGACTATCGTCTATTCTCATCTCCAGAACAGCTGAATTTTAATAATATTGAATGTTCTAATCCAATATCATTTGATTGTTGTATTGATTCAAGTTCACATACTTATCCATCATGTTCTAATGATGACTATGCAAGAAAGTCTTCATTAAGTAATGTATATAACCAACCTGATGTATTCCTGTCATCGAAATGTTCAAATGACAGTGTACTAGACTCTTTCAGCCTAGATCCATTAAGTTATTTTTCATCATCTATATTCCCTTCAACAGTACAATCTGATAGTAATGAAAAATTAAAAATGGATTCATCATATTTAGCTGCACAACAAGCATTACTAGCAAGATATTTTCATGTGGATAAAGAGTTTACAAAATTTTCCACTAGCACTAATCAGTATACTGATTTCACGGTGAATGTGACACGTTCAAATGACAGTGGACTATTGCATCAAAATACAAGCATAGATCATATCCCTACAACACCAAATAATCAAACTGTACAGAGTATGCGAATTCAGTTTCCCAGTGAGCATAATAATACTAGTAATAATAATAACAATTTCAATAATGATTCATGCATAAATAGGTTCGATCACTTATCACACATAAAGTTCAACACACATAATTCTCTAGACTGTAAAGCGTATCCTTCATTAACAGACACTTCTGAATGTGACACTAAAACATCCACACATAATTCATCCTATAAAAAGTTACATCATAAGTACACAATTAATAATAATAATAATATTAGCGGGAATAATAATACACCAGAAGGGAATAAACATCAATCACACCTTGAAGCATCTATTATAGGTAACAATCATAATAACAGTAACACTCAACCTATTCAATATTTCAATGAATCCATTTTAACAAATGATTCAATGATCAATAAGTCAAATACAATATTACATAGTTCAGAATTATATCTTAATTCTTACAATTGTTTTACTGTGATTGATCAATTAGAAGAAAGAAATAGTGGTTATAATATAACACAAAGAACACGTTTAAGCCCATCAATATTATCATCAACACATTCCTCGTCTTCTTTTCTGACAGGTAACAATAATAACACTAATAGTAACAATAATAATAATAGTAATAATAATTCCACACCAATGTTATCCTCTCCTTCCTTGTCTTTATCAACTACATCTACACCTCCAACAATTTCAATTAGTCCAAATAATAATAATTCAAAATTGTCTAAAATTACTAATTATAATCTAAATGATATCCATCCAGTACCAGTTGGTGAAGCGGAATGTCATCAGTTGTGTTTAGTTTGTGGAGATAATGCAGCCTGTCAACATTATGGTGTAAGAACATGTGAAGGATGTAAAGGATTTTTTAAGGTGAGACGTTATATTTTTTTTCTACTAATTTCAGTTGGTACTGTCTAACTCTGAAATGCCTTTTGTTAAAATTTCAATTAAAAGTTATGACCGGTATGATCAGCAGTAGATTTGAAGGTATTGTTGAATATATCATGAAGGTTTAGGTAGTGAAAAGTAATATCCATTTGGATTCTAACTCACTGGTTGTGTGATAATTTATTAATCACGAGAGATGATAGTGTCCAGTGGGATCATAGGATGGATGATTTAATAATAATAATTTGCTTTATTCCAGAAACAGTACTAGTGGTACAGTGTGGAATTTTCAGCACATATCTACAATATTTGCATCTAATTTTATCAAACAATTAAAAGGAGTATTTCAAAAAATAAGTTTAAAGACAAAAACAACAAAACAAAAATAATAAAAAAATGCGAAAAAGATAAAGCAATACCAAGAAGTAGAAAGGAAAATAAAACAACATAAAATAATATCTCAGTATTGGGTAGTGGAAGTCATGATATGATTATGCATGGTGACAGTAAAGCTATAATCATTCGCGAAGTTATGAAATGATATTTAAGAATGTTTATCGCCAAGATGATCAGTTAATTTGGTTGAAACAACTCTAAACAATCATAAAATAACATTTCAGGGTTGTTGTTTTGTTTTTTATTGTCAGGTCTAATGCAGTGTTTCTAGTGGTAGTGTGAGTAACCCTGCATAATACAAAATTTTAAGATGGTGATAATGGCTTTCACAACCAAGATTGTCAGTTAATATTGCCGAACAAAAAACAACAACCACAAAACTAATAATTACATGATGATTAATGACAGGAAAATTTTGTAATACTCATAGTGCTAATATAGTCGGAACCAGTAGATACACATGAGGGAATAAAGTAAAGTACAAAAAGTAAGCCAATGTTAATAATTTAGATAGCTAAGTATGTTTAAGAAGGATTTCACTATAAAATACCAAATAAGAAAGAAATAAAAAGAGCCTAAAATTATATTATTAATAACAAAGCAAGTCATAGGTTTCGCGCTTAACATTGTCTCTGTCACTTAGAACACGGGCCAAGTATGGTATGGTTGAGTTCCTGTACTTGGTTGTACGAGCATAGATTATTTTATACTGATTTCTGGTTCTACTTGATGAGATACAAGGCGAGAGTTGGGAATAGAGGGGGTGTTGGTGGTCGGAGAGTATGGTTTTAGACCATTTTTCGCATGTATTCAGATGCCTTTCAACTAATGTAGTGACGAGCTGACTGAGTTTTACACCACTAGTCCTACTAACTACCTTCAACATCCTTCTCAGGATGGTGTAGTCCTTTTTCAGTAGCCCAGGAAAGACTAACAGGGAGCAGTAAAGTAGAATAGGTAAGATACAAGAGTTGACAATTGTGAAAGTAGAGGTTGGGTGATTCCAGGTTGTCTAAGTTTCTTAATGTAGTAGGTAAGACAGAACACTTTCTTAGAAATCGTTAGGATATGAGATGTCCAAGTAAGGTCGGAAGATAGAACTAGACCGAGGTATTTTGCATTAGACTTAGTTCTGTTCTCTCAGCTGGACGGTTTAGCTGCGAAGCCCTCTTTGTTTTACTAGACAATATCTTCAGCGCATACTTCAGTTTGACGTACTTAAATATACCCTATTAAGAACAAAAAGTTGTCCGGAGTCCTTTCTATTTGTCAAGAGACTATATAAACCATGTTTGAGATTTAATGCTTACTGCTGAGATATTAGACAGTTGGGAAAATTCGCTGCACGGGAATATCTTTGAAAATGAAAATAAAAAAAGGAAATTGAACACTATGGTAAAATATAATTCCATAATAGACAAGCTTATTTGATGTAACACAAAGTGGCGTACTACTAATAGCTGGATGGTGTTTTGAGCAAAATTGATTGCTCAACATTCATATGAATATATTCACTTGAATCCTTTAATAGTTTAATATAGTTCTGCTTCCTCCTAGGAACGGTTTTGCATCATTCCCATTATAGAATTTCATAAATTGACCAATCTTTCTATTGTACTTTTACTTACTTCCATCTTGTTATTTCGTATAATGCACTAGGTGAAATTTTAACAGGTTTCATTTATCAGTTAAATTTTTATGTTCTGATAATTTAACTGACCCCAACCAACTAGTCTGACTGCCCTGACTCACCGTCATTACGTGGTATTTGGCAAATTATATTACTTTGTTAGTTTGAACATCACTCTCCATTGATGGGGTGGCTGAGAATTTGTCTTATGCTTCCGGATTTAAAAGCAAAAACTAGCAAAGTGACAGAAGAAACAATGAAGACAGGACTTTAATTGCGCATAGACAAGATAGGGTGATGAAGACACCCTAAAACTGACAACAAAATCCAGTCACAATCAGTGGGAGATATTTGATGAAAGTTGTCCCGTTCACTTGCCTGACCTTAGCAGCCTGGTTTCAACTATGGACACCATGGATTCAAATTTTAAAGAAAGACACGATCGGGAAGGCGAGATAGGCATTCATCAGTCTGAATTAGGTGTGGAGATCCACAGGACTTAGCAAAACAATGGCATCCTGATTGTTAACACTGCTGTCAAGTGAGCGTTTTTGTATCGTTGGGAGACTTCGATATTGAAAATCAGATGGCTAATTATTTAGGATAAGTGACAAAGAACTGTGGCAGTAAAACAGCTAAAAACCTGCTTTCTGATTCATGCGCGAAAAGATATGGAGTCGGTTTAGACAGACACTGAGGGGGTTTTCAGGAAAAATCACTCTCTAGAGGAGCCCAAACGGGAAGTAAAAATTCGACGTGGCTGCGTTCGTAACATAGAGAAGACTGTGTTATCAGGAAATTCAAGGTTATAGTCAATCGTGGATCCAGTTTGTACTGATATCAGCCAACCGAGTGAAGCGGAGGTGGGCTGTTAGAGCTCTCTGTTCCCCGAGCATCTCATGTAACAAATAATAATAATGAATGATGTCATTTTCCTCCACTTGAATCAAGTATTTAACATTTGTGAAATATTATTTCTGACTTCAGCAAGGCACTATATACTTTACATTTAATTTATCTGCCTTGAAACCAGCAACATGACTTTAGTATTGAACTTCAATCGTTTTAGCAGTTATAGGAAATTAATTGGTGGATGGTGACTAGCAGTGGAATACAGGATGTGCATTTTGTCCTATTTGGGACTAGTGGTCAGCTGGATGTACCTGCATTCTGCAGTGAGTGATGATGTTCCCACCGAGGCTCGAACCCAGCACCCATAGATTTAAACGCCAAAGCGTTATCCACTAGACCACTTGGGCCGCGAGAGCCACCTTTTTTGCTACGGGTCATATTATTTATTTAATTCAATTTTAGATTTTCCCGTCGACTGATTGAACCGAAGTACGCCGCCTCAGGTTGACATGTCAGCTTCTTGTGCAGACTCTTCGACGATGTCTGGGCATGTAATTAGAAGTTAATCCGAGTGGTCAAGTGGATAATGCTTTGGCATTTGAAACTATGGGCACTGGGCTCGAGCCTCGTTGGGAAGATCATTACTCACTGCGGAATACAGGTACATCCACCTGACCACTAGTCCCAAATAGGACAAAATGCGCATCCTGTATTCCACTGCTAGTCACTATCCACCGATTAACTTCTAATTACATGCCCAGACATCGTCGAAGCATCTGCACAAGAAGCCGATATGTCAACCTCAGACCAAACGCTTCGATCCAATCAAGAGACGGGAAAATCTAAATCTGAATTATAAATAGTCATAGGAAATATCAGCAATTTTACACGCTGTGCATATATTTAAGCCTTTATCATCATCAGAAACTTGACTTCAGAATTAATTTACATGAAAAAGAATAAACATTTACACATACGTAATTAAAGTACTAGTGCAGTTGACATATATTCTATTATTTAGACTAAATTTAGTCATTTGTTTTCAGTATTGAAGTATTATTAGTATTCGACAAAATATTCTTTTAGCATTGTCAACATTGATAATCAAACATAATTCACTTTTCATCTCAGTTGATATATATATATATATATATTCCATATATATATATATCACTTAACAGGGCTATGAAAGGGTTTAATGGACACACAAACCTTTATAGCTAATAGCTAATAACTTGATTTATTGTATTTCAAGAGAGTGGAATAACTAAAAATGAATTACAGTGATCTTCGAGGATAATTTATCACTTTAATAATAATAATAACACTAATACTAATAGTAATACGAGACGAACAATACTATAGAAAAGATATACATTCACAAAACACGCAGACTGATAGATAGGAGAAAATGGTTTTGTATCATAAATGGACGAAAGTCTTAAAAATTTAACCATTTGATCACTCTAGGATTTTCACTGTGGGATCTGGCAGTCTTTAGCTCGAACCTGTGTTGGAAGGTTAATTCATAATTGTGATAGGTTGTAAGCGAAACCATAATAGGTCCAATAACTTTTATTTATCATTATCTGTCAGAATGATGTGAGATTTAAAAAGTTTCTTTGGTTCAGTGGTACAGTGATCTCCAACCACGCCAGTAGTTCCCGGTTCGATACCCTGCCGACGCACCACTAACTTTCGTATAACCGGTCGTAAGCACGGTAAGGAGGGAAGGTTGGGCATTAGGCTAGAATCCTCACCCCGTAAAAAGAGACACTGCCGTAACTTAATCTTCACACCTTAAAGCTTGAATCCTCATGTTCCAATCGAAATGCAAAGCAATTAAAAAAGCGATGTTAAACTCTGATCAAAAATATTTTCCAAAGACAAAACGTACACACATATTCAAGAACAAGGAAAATCCATATATGATCCTTCTTGGATTACTTAAGAAAGACTTTGTTACACTGCTAAGAGCACTAAAAGCTGTTAGTAGAGCGAGTGGGATACCGGTAAACCAGCTAGTTGTTACTATTGTAAAGAAGCACTTGAACTCATGCAAGAAATTAGCAAATACCATCTTGTTAGACTTTGACCATCCTCT